GTTTAGGGTTTAGGGTTGAAAATTTTCCACTGGCCTCGTAGCCACGCGAGTAAAGTGGCGAGCTTGGTGTCGGCGGCGGCCTATAAAAAGGATTCAAAATCCGGGGGGTTTCTGAAATTACTGTAGGGGGTGCCTTTCAAGGGGGTTATAGAGGCTAAGGGTTTAGGGTTCAGGAGTTTCCCAAAATCAGTGGTACTTTTTGGGAGGGTCCCTATTTTAGGGTCGATATTTATATTTAGGGCCCCCTATTTAAAATGAAAACTGTGGTAGTAGAGAAATACAGTATAAAGGATCTTCATATAGTCACTCTGATGGATACAGGGCACTCCTGTGATCACCAGAATACGAATAACATGGTGAATTGCGGACCTGTACAAGTAATTGGAGCTGCAGGTAGAACTGACACCTAGGTAAGTATGTTATGGAACCCCACACCCTCAAATTCAAACCGCATCAGTCCACATAATCCGAATCATCACGACCATGTTGAATATGGAGACTATAGGATACGACCTTTGTCCGAAGTTGGGGTTTCCCTACCTACCCAGAGGCTTAAGTAAGGAATGTACCTTAAACCAGATTAAGGGTAATGTAAGGTATGTTCCTCAACGACGCTATATTGGGCTCTCTGGGGACCCTAAACCCTTAACCCCCTAAACCCCTAACCCTAAACCATTAACCCTATACCCTAAACCATATTGGGTCAGGCGCAAGACCGGGATCCGCGCAGAAATGCAGGCGAGGGCGCAACACTGCACGTCTCGTGCCCAGCGGAGAGGATCTGTCAAGTCAAACTGGGAAATATGACTACACTGGCAGATAAGGAATGATAGGAATAATAGAAAGAATAGTAAGAATTTCAATGAAAATGCTGGCATATTAGGAATGAGAGTAATACCAGTCGTAATAAACATAATTAGAATAATGGTAGTACTGGTAATAACAATAGTGATAGAAATACTGAATACTTGTGCCACTGAAATGGGCTTCCCTTTGCGTTCCGACAAGCATCACGAGAATGTCTGACTTTATTTCCAAATCAATCCGAAGATACTCGTAGGCACAACCCAGGTCCTCCCACTTCAATAGCCTCACTGAAAGAGCAAAGGATCCATTTTCACACGCAGGTGCTTCTCAAGAACGCAAGGCTGAAAGGCAACAATGTCAGTCATCAAAGCTATGCCTTGTCCATGTCAGCGCAGGCAAAGCCCACGTCCTGCGCAGTTTCGGCATACGGCGTGGATGTCTGGCATTAAGTGAGTAGTGTTTTTTTGGTGGTTGAACCTAATAAGATAATATCCCTTATATAAAATACTATACCCCAAAAGGAGGATATAATCTTCCTCTGTAATGGGTACCATAGTCTCCCCAAATAAAATACTACTCAAGTGAAGGGGGTGAGACTGGGCATGGTAAACCCTAAGCCCTAAATCTAACAAACCATCAGCTGTGTTCACAAGGAGTCTCAAGAGTTTGAATTTGTTTCTGAGCCTGGTGTAGAAGGTGCCATCATGCCTTTCAGTGTCAGAATAAATGGGAACTATGACGGGCTATAGAAGTACAAGGTGTTAGCCCATTAAGGTGTTTAGAGTTTAGGGACGCTACCTACAGGCCCCTCAAGTCCCTGTAGTCCCAGTTTCCATGTCATGTTCCATGATGTTCGTTTGATTCTCCATGATTGGGTGACAAACGTCAAGTGTTACGGGACGGCGCAGGGAAGAAAGGGAGGTCCTTCTCTAACTGCCCAAATTTAGTTGGTTTTTAGAAATTAAAGTTCCTTGTAAGCAAGCGAGATTATACTGGGCACTATAGGATCACCAGTGAGCCGAGGGTTCAGAGTGTGCGACATCAACCTGGTATGACTGGGCACACCGATGTATCAACCCATTGTAGTACTTTGCATTTTTTCATTACCCAATATTAGGATGGGACAATATAATATTGGGGTAATATTGGGATAAGGAAAAGAAAATGGAAACTACACAGTTTCCCAGCATCACAGCCGAAGGCGCCGCAAATGGAAATGCTGCAAATGTTGGATCTCCCATTTCAGCCCATGACAACGCATATACGACCCATATACAGTTCCCCATCTTATGCTAGGGAATCTAAGTGGCAGTTTCCCAAAATAAGCGGACTCCAACATAGACCCCAAAATATTCAATTCCTTATTATAGGGACCCCAAAAAAGTACTCCTAATTTGGGAAACCACCAAGTGTCCCTTTGAAAAATTCTACGTCTACATGGCCGTGTCCTTCGGCACGGACTGCGAGCGACGGAAAGAACCAGGCTCTGGCGTGACCTGTATGTAACTATAGAGGGTTTAGGTTGGGTACTGCCCCCCCACCCAGTGACAGTCTATACTAGGGGTCCTATTAAGGGATATATATAGCCATAATATATTTTTTAATCCAACTGTTACTGAGGGGGGGCAGTACCCAAGGTTTAGGTTTAGGGTAGAAATGGAGATATTGGGATAACGGAGAAGAAAATGGAAGCTACCATAGTTTATGGGGACATGTGGGGACAATGGAAAAATGGAAGCTACTATAGAATCTCGGGTTATATGGGCTTAGGGTAAAAAATGGAGACTTCAATGGAAAACTATTGAAAACGAAAAGGATACTGGAAGAATCTGAGACTTGGCAAAGCCAAGAAGGCTAAACTTTCAGCTGCCAGACTTGTCATCACGGCAGGGGATACAAGCATTCGTATCAACATCAAGACCAGCATGAGTAGCAGCATTGTAACCATTGCAAGTATTCTTGAAACTATTCATGAAATTACAGCTACCACGCTTATACGCATTGTCTGAATTATCGCTGTGTGTCTTCATGCGTGGGCTCCCTGCCAGAGGCGTGACTGCCGAATGGATGAAGGTGTTCTTCACCTCCCTGTCGGCCTTGGGGCAGCATCTTACTTGCAGCCTGTTGGGTTCCCTAAACCCCCTAAATCCCTAAACCCTAAATCGGGTTCACAAAAAGGCCGGTCCCTACGGGGGTTCTATAGCCTACGGCAGTAAGTCTGAGAAAGTCCCTATAGCTTTGCAGGTCGTCGTGATCAAGCGCATGGTCAGTGGTTCTATGCTGCATGATCGACGTATGTTTGCATCCTGACATATGAATCAAAAGCGTGTAAAGATGTCACACTTACTACATGGGTCGCGCCCCGGCGTGCCTTATAAATGCATGTATATGGGTGGTTGTCAACATGATGGACCCTTTTTTCGATCCCAATTATACTACGGCACCTAATATTTAGGGTACCCAAAAAGGGACCGTAATGTTGGCAACCACCCATGTACATCGTTCATGTCAGTCTCCACTTGGTTCTCCGGTATTGGCCTTTGCCTTGGGCTTTGCACTACCTAGCTCCTTCCATACGACCACGCATCCATTCCATATGAAACCAGCGTATAATTGTGGTTTCCATGTGATTTTCCATAGTCTTTTGAATTTGATTCTCCATTATCGGGGTACTTTATCTAAACCATTATCCCTACATCCCCTATAATATCTCCCCTTCTGACACAAATAACCCCTAAACCCCAAATAGTAGGTTCCATTTTCTTTTCCATTATCCTTAAATCCCTATTTCCCATTTACTCCATAATCCTACCTCCCCTTCTAAACCCCAAACCCCCTAACCCCTTAACCCCCTAACCCAAAACCCTAAACCCAAAACCCTCAACCCTAACCCCCGCAATCCCCTTAACCCCTCCTTCTGACCCTACGTCACCTCCCCTTTGAGTGGGTGACCAGGCCAGGCGGCAGTCTGTCGAAGCCGGCCTCCTGGTACGGGTTAAGATGAACCATGGTACTGGCTTGAGGGTTTAGGGGTTTAGGAGTTTAGGGTTTAGGGGTGTACGGTTTGGGGGTTGGGGTTTAGGGTTTAAGGTTAAGGGTTTAGGGTTTAGAAGGGCATTTAAGGAGAATGGAAAAGAAAATTGAAAATTACTATTTAGGGGCTTCTGGTGGTTTAAGGTTTTTGGGCTTGGGGCTTTGCGTTTAGGGGTTTGGGTTTTTGGGTTGAGGGTTTGGGGTTGAGGGTCTGGGGTTTAGAGTTTAGGGTTTGGGGTTTGGGATTCAGGGCTTAGGGTTTAAGCATTGGGTTTGGGGTTTGGGGTCTGGGGTTTAGGGTTTGGGCTTGGGGTTTTAGGTTTTGGGCTTGTGATTTTGGGTTTTGGGTTTCCGGTTTTGGGTCTAGGGATTGCGTTTTGGGTTGTGGGTATGGGATTACAAGTTTGGGGGGCCTGAAGGTTTAGGATTTTGCGCTCAGGGTTCAAGAGGGATGGAGGAAGAACGTAGCATCATTCATCGCCACTGTCAAGCCCACCGAGCAGATCTGGTTTCTTGACATACTAACCTCATGTAGTTAGCACCCATCGGCGCCAAAGATAAGGACTGCGTGTGGAAGATCTAGCAAGCACAGCAGGTGAAATACTTGACCGAATTATGTAAGTTTCCAATGTGAACTCCTCGGATGCGTTTTCCCTTGCTACTTGCCGTAGCAAGGACCACAAGAAAAAGCCTGGGAGTGGAGCGGCACGTAAGTTGATGAAGAAAAAGTAATGGAATATCGGGCTTTCCAAAGTGGGCGTCTCCCATATTGACCCCAAAAACCCGATTGCAGGGGCTCCCAAAGAAAGGACTACATGGCACATCTGGCCTCGAGTGCTAAAGGTTCGCCCACGCAGAACCTTAGTGCATCTTAGTGCAGCAAAGGCTGCTGAGGAGGCTCCCAAGTGAGCTTGCTCAAGGAAGCTTCTTCTTGTTACCCGGATATTTCTCAAGATTGGGGTCCCACACCACTATGAGGGCAAGCGAGAATATCCTGTTCAAGTGCGATTCCATCCGGAGCACTTCTATGCCTCTGCGGGGGGTTTCCAGACCTTAGGTGTCGTTTCTTGGGAGTCCTCACAGCAAGGATCATAGAATTTTGTGCGTCAATTGGGCTCCCTATTTGGTAGTTTCCTAAAATACGGGGACCCCAATATAAACCGGGATGCGCCTGGAGCCTTGGAACAGGCTCAAGACCATCCCCGAACCACTCCACAGACGTGCGCAGAAATGCTGGTGCACAGGCAGATAAAGCAAAAGCGCCGTTTGGAACAATAATAGTGATCCTATGCATAATGGTAAGAACAATCATATTAACAGTACTAATAGCAGCAATACTAACAGGATGAACACCAACAATTATGATGAGGAGGCTCGTAGAGTCCTATCACTGGATCCTTCTTGGGTTGGGCAAGCTTTCACCAAAATCCTCGTATTACCATTTCCCGAGTGCGCTGCGGACGGCAGGACTCTCGGGCGGGGCCCAAGTCCCTGCTGTCGTACTTGCTGCTGTCTATCACCTCAATCATAGGGTCCCAAATTGGGGTCCGAGACATTTCAGCCCCCCAAAAACTCAAAATGAGCCTTGAATGAGCCTTGATAACCTCTAATATGGCTTCAATAGTCCCTGTGACCCTTGTTCTGGGGGTTGTCATGCGGGGGACTCCCCTTGGGACCCTATGACTCAACCGACATTGAGCTCACGCGGTGAGAGTCAGCAGCGCAATCCTCAAGAAAACGATCCCTGTGTCAAGGAAGTCCTGATAATGCAGACCCCTGATGAACAAACCCCCTCCCCTTGATAGGGATAATAATAGGGATCCTAGTATTAAGACCCTAAAAAGGAGGGGGTTTATTAATCATGGGTCGACATTAGGAAGCTATTGAATTCCAGAAGCCGCTAACAGGGAAAGCGCTGAGACTTCGCAACGCATGAGGAATGGATCCCTATAGAAGGCCCCCAGATAATATCCAACACTCATCCGTGTGTTCCATTCCCTCATCCCCGACTAAAAAACCCCGAAACCACAAAACTCAGAACGGAACATCCTAAAAATCATACGTGCCTGAACTTGAACTTTCATGTAAATTCCTTGATTTGCTGCCAAACCCAAAAAACTTAATCGGTTCCATGTTCTTTTCCATTCCTTCGCTCTTTACCAAAGCACCCGTAGGTGTTCAAATCATACGCCCCCACTATGGGCCCTAACTCCTGAGGTCACTTTTCTATAGCAAGGGCTCCGGGCCACAGTCCAGATTTGAAACCATTACTTCCAAGCTAGACTCCTCAACCCGAGTCAACCCGCAACCCCAATGAGCTAATAGCATCATACGCTAAACCCTCAACCCTAAACCCTTTATGATGTCCATGTTCTGTTCCTTTCTTTCCTTCCATGCCTGACCACCAGTACACATGGAAGTTTCCCTAAATTACTGTTCTCAAAATGGGGGAAACTTATATAGGGCCCCGTATTATAATAGGAACCCAAATATAGGACCCCGTATTGACAGTAATTTAGGACAATCCCCATAAACCAAACTGTGGCTCACGCCGGCGTCAGGGCGCAGTCCACAGCCAGGCTGGCAAGGCTTCCCAGAGTTCCTTGAGGGTTTAGGGTTTAGGGTTTAGGGTTTTTGACAAGGGGGGTATATAAGGGATACATAGGGGTTCTATACGGGTTATACAGGCGAGAAAGCGGTTCTGTAGGGCTTATATAGGGGTATATGGGTAGTTGTCAAAATCATGGTCCCTTTTTTTGGGTACCCTAAAATATTAGGTGCCGTATTACAATAGGGATCCAAAAAGGACCATAATTTTGACAACCACCCATATAAGGTTCAGGTTTGGGGTTTCAGGGTTTTAGGGTAGATAGTTTGAGGCTTGGCGATTAGCATCTTAGGGGTGTGGGTTTAAGGTCCGAAAATGATGAGCAACTGGGGTGTTACGAGAGGGGTAGACAGGGATTGGGGTGGAGATAGCTTTCCGAGGCAGAACATTCAAAGACTTGCGTGATTGTCTGCATCTTTGCAAAGATTGAGGTCCTCTTCAGTCATTGTCTCCAGTTGCCCGTGTCATTAACAGCACCCATATGCATAACTACAAAACCCTAAAACCCAAATAGTAGGTTCCATTTTCTTTTCCATTATCCCCAGATATAACCCCAATATACTGCAGTAGTTTCCATTTTCTTTTCCAATACCCTAATATAGCCTCCCATGGTCCCTATCCTAAACATTAAACTACAATATAGTATAATATCGTACAATATAATATAGTAGAATATCATATACTGCAATATAGTAAAGTATAGTATAGTATAATACAGTACAATATAGTATAATATAGTGTACTCTCAGAATATTTTCATATGATCTAGAATAATATATTGAAAACATCTCTGATTTGGACAAGGGACTTTGGCTCTCGGAGGCGTCAGCCTTTGAAGCGATGGGTCCTGCAAAGTCCATGTCGCCCTGGTGTCGTTTACGGCTTGGGGAGTTTAGGCTTTTACATAATAGAGTATAATATAGTAGAATATAGTAGAATATAATATACAAGAGTATAATATAATACAATATAAACCCTAAACCCCTAAAACCCCAAAAACGAAACCCTGAGTTTTTGGAAGTGTCTCGGGATCATACATAACAGGATTAGAAAGGGATTACAAGAGTCTCATGATTCGCCTTGGACAATGAAGCTTCAGGGCTCCTGGTCCACCTAAACCCTACAAGCCAAGGCGCGCCATGTCCCCAATGGTGATTTCCCAAAATTAGGGGTACCAGGGGGATTATTGTATTTGGGGGTCTACATTGGCGTTCCCTGTTTATGGAAACTTTAAAATAGCCCTGCATGCAGGGTCGTGAAGGTTATGGTCTCCTGGGAAACCCTCCACAAATAAGGGCGGCCATATTAGAATGGGGTCCCGAACAGGATCATAACAACTTCTGACAAGCCCCCACCCTAAACCCAAAAACCCTAAATCCTAAATCCTAAACTCTAAACCCTAAACACCTAAACCCCTAAACCCTAAACCCCTAAACCCTAAACCCTAAACAACAACCCCCAATATACCCCTACAAGTTCACCCTGGGGCTGCACAGTCCTCCCGTATAGCATCCCGGGACCTCAGGTACAGATTTCAGGGTCTAGGGTTTACCCTACTGATAGAGTTTTACTGGTTTAGGAGCTTAGGGTTTAGGGTCTAGGGTCTATATTGGGATAATGGAAATGGAAACTATTATTTAGGGTTTAGGGTTTAGGATTTAGGGTTTATCTTACTAATAGAGTTTAGTAGGGTTTAGGGTTCAGGGTCTAGAGTTTAGGGTTTGTTCTTTAGGACGTAGGGCTTAGGGCCCTGCCAGGCTCCTGTTCTGCAAAAGATGTCATCTTCTCACTTCTGCTGCTAAGTCAGGCTGTAAGTCGATTCTTTGGATTTCCTGAACCCTAAACTCTAAGCCCTATATGCCCATATAAACTTGCCATTACTTTGGGTTCTCCCATTTCCTTAACTTTAAAATCTTAAATCCAAATGAACCCCCCAAACCCTAAGTAATGGTGATAAACCCTAAACCCTAAACCCGATGGATCGGCTGCTTCAGTTCAGGATCCCTATCCAGCTAGTGGTTTGCAGGTTATGGCTTGGAACTCTAATCCTCTAGAGTTCTGCAAGGACATGAAAAGAACGAGCTCAGCAAGAGCACACGGCTAGTAATGTAACCAATTGATACTCTCTCTTTGGAATCCCCGAAACAACTCAAAGGCTTTCGAAACCCTCAAACCCTTAACCCCTAAAACCCCTAACCCTAAACCCCTAAACACCAAAAGCCCCTAACCCGAATCCCCAAACCACTTGACCTCCGAGCCCTACACTCCTAAACCCCTAAACCAGAATTCCGAAACCCCTTTACCCCTAAACCCCGCAACCCTAAACCCTACACCCCTACACTCTCAAAAATCTCAAACTTTCAAACCACTGAAACCCCAAAATCTTAAACCCTTAGACCCCTGAAACCCCCAACCCTAAACCCTGAAACCCTGAAACCCTAACCCCTGGGATATGGCCTCCTTGTCGTCCGGCCCGGCTTGGGCCTGCACGACGATGTAGCCCTGTCCCTGAAGCTGCACCTGCACAGCTTGGGATTTAGGGGTTAGGGTTTCAGGGTTTCAGGGTTTAGGGTTCCAGGGTTTAGGAGTTTAGGGT